CCTGCCGGTTTCCCTGAACCCCTTCATAAATGTTACTTTGCTCACACTCCAACAGCACGTCAAGTATTAAAAACCATTTGTCTCCATTCACTCCTATCAAACACGCTCATGCATGCCTGCTGGAAGTCCAAGCCCCTCGCACACAAAACCTCCTTTACCCCCTCCCTCCAACCTTTCCTAGGCCGACCCCTACCCCGCCTTCCTTCCACTACAGACTGATACACTCTTGAAGTCATTCTGTTTCGCTCCATTCTCTCTACATGTCCGAACCACCTCAACAACCCTTCCTCAGCCCTCTGGACAACAGTTTTGGTAATCCCGCACCTCCTCCTAACTTCCAAACTACGAATTCTCTGCATTATATTCACACCACACATTGCCCTCAGACATGACATCTCCACTGCCTCCAGCCTTCTCCTCGCTGCAACATTCATCACCCACGCTTCACACCCATATAAGAGCGTTGGTAAAACTATACTCTCATACATTCCCCTCTTTGCCTCCAAGGACAAAGTTCTTTGTCTCCACAGACTCCTAAGTGCACCACTCACTCTTTTTCCCTCATCAATTCTATGATTCACCTCATCTTTCATAGACCCATCCGCTGACACGTCCACTCCCAAATATCTGAATACGTTCACCTCCTCCATACTCTCTCCCTCCAATCTGATATTCAATCTTTCATCACCTAATCTTTTAGTTATCCTCATAACCTTACTCTTTCCTGTATTCACCTTTAATTTTCTTCTTTTGCACACCCTACCAAATTCATCCACCAATCTCTGCAACTTCTCTTCAGAATCTCCCAAGAGCACAGTGTCATCAGCAAAGAGCAGCTGTGACAACTCCCACTTTGTGTGTGATTCTTTATCTTTTAACTCCACGCCTCTTGCCAAGACCCTCACATTTACTTCTCTTACAACCCCATCTATAAATATATTAAACAACCACGGTGACATCACACATCCTTGTCTAAGGCCTACTTTTACTGGGAAAAAATTTCCCTCTTTCCTACATACTCTAACTTGAGCCTCACTATCCTCGTAAAAACTCTTCACTGCTTTCAGTAACCTACCTCCTACACCATACACTTGCAACATCTGCCACATTGCCCCCCTATCCACCCTGTCATACGCCTTTTCCAAATCCATAAATGCCACAAAGACCTCTTTAGCCTTATCTAAATACTGTTCACTTATATGTTTCACTGTAAACACCTGGTCCACACACCCCCTACCTTTCCTAAAGCCTCCTTGTTCATCTGCTATCCTATTCTCCGTCTTACTCTTAATTCTTTCAATTATAACTACCATACACTTTACCAGGTATACTCAACAGACTTATCCCCCTATAATTTTTGCACTCTCTTTTATCCCCTTTGCCTTTATACAAAGGAACTATGCATGCTCTCTGCCAATCCCTAGGTACCTTACCCTCTTCCATACATTTATTAAATAATTGCACCAACCACTCCAAAACTATATCCCCACCTGCTTTTAACATTTCTATCTTTATCCCATCAATCCCGGCTGCCTTACCCCCTTTCATTTTACCTACTGCCTCACGAACTTCCCCCACACTCACAACTGGCTCTTCCTCACTCCTACAAGATGTTATTCCTCCTTGCCCTATACACGAAATCACAGCTTCCCTATCTTCATCAACATTTAACAATTCCTCAAAATATTCCCTCCATCTTCCCAATACCTCTAACTCTCCATTTAATAACTCTCCTCTCCTATTTTTAACTGACAAATCCATTTGTTCTCTAGGCTTTCTTAACTTGTTAATCTCACTCCAAAACTTTTTCTTATTTTCAACAAAATTTGTTGATAACATCTCACCCACTCTCTCATTTGCTTTCTTTTTACATTGCTTCACCACTCTCTTAACCTCTCTCTTTTTCTCCATATACTCTTCCCTCCTTGCATCACTTCTACTTTGTAAAAACTTCTCATATGCTAACTTTTTCTCCCTTACTACTCTCTTTACATCATCATTCCACCAATCGCTCCTCTTCCCTCCTGCACCCACTTTCCTGTAACCACAAACTTCTGCTGAACACTCTAACACTACATTTTTAAACCTACCCCATACCTCTTCGACCCCATTGCCTATGTTCTCATTAGCCCATCTATCCTCCAATAGCTGTTTATATCTTACCCTAACTGCCTCCTCTTTTAGTTTATAAACCTTCACTTCTCTCTTCCCTGATGCTTCTATTCTCCTTGTATCCCATCTACCTTTTACTCTCAGTGTAGCTACAACTAGAAAGTGATCTGATATATCTGTGGCCCCTCTATAAACATGTACATACTGAAGTCTACTCAACAGTCTTTTATCTACCAATACATAATCCAACAAACTACTATTATTTCGCCCTACATCATATCTTGTATACTTATTTATCCTCTTTTTCTTAAAATATGTATTACCTATAACTAAACCCCTTTCTATACAAAGTTCAATCAATGGGCTCCCATTATCATTTACACCTGGCACCCCAAACTTACCTACCACACCCTCTCTAAAAGTTTCTCCTACTTTAGCATTCAGGTCCCCTACCACAATTACTCTCTCACTTGGTTCAAAGGCTCCTATACATTCACTTAACATCTCCCAAAATCTCTCTCTCTCCTCTGCATTCCTCTCTTCTCCCGGTGCATACACGCTTATTATGACCCACTTCTCGCATCCAACCTTTACTTTAATCCACATAATTCTTGAATTTACACATTCATATTCTCTTTTCTCCTTCCATAACTGATCATTTAACATTACTGCTACCCCTTCCTTTGCTCTAACTCTCTCAGATACTCCAGATTTAATCCCATTTATTTCCCCCCACTGAAACTCTCCTACCCCCTTCAGCTTTGTTTCGCTTAGGGCCAGGACATCCAACTTCTTTTCATTCATAACATCAACAATCATCTGTTTCTTGTCATCCGCACTACATCCACGCACATTTAAGCACCCCAGTTTTATAAAGTTTTTCTTCTTCTCTTTTTTAGTAAATGTATACAGGAGAAGGGGTTACTAGCCCATTGCTCCCGGCATTTTAGTCGCCTCATACGACACGCATGGCTTACGGAGGAAAGATTCTTTTCCACTTCCCCATGGACAATAGAAGAAATAAAAAAGAACAAGAGCTATTTAGAAAAAGGAGAAAAACCTAGATGTATGTATATATATATATGCATGTGCGTGTCTGTGAAGTGTGACCAAAGTGTAAGTAGGAGTAGCAAGATATCCCTGTTATCTAGCGTGTTTATGAGACAGAAAAAGAAACCAGCAATCCTACCATCATGCAAAACAGTTACAGGTTTTTGTTTCACAGTCATCTGGCAGGACGGTAGTACTTCCCTGGGTGGTTGCTGTCTACCAACCTACTACCTATCATGTTTATTATATAATGTTTATTATATAATTTTGAAAAAATATCATACATGGATTAATGAAAATGTGTATATTAACGTAATATACGACATTTAATGAGACTCAATGATTATTATTGAGTATTATTATCATTACTAATATGGCATCTCGAGACATAAGACACTCATACTGATTTTAACCCTTAAACGGTCCAAACAAATCGGCGTTCAAATTCGTAGTGCTACAAAAGTAGATCTACTTTTTTTTTACACATTTTCAAATGTAAGAAAAAAAAAATGTAGATAAAAGTTTTTTTACACGTTTTCAAATGTAAAACAAAAAAAAAATCTACATTTTTTTACATACTTTTAGATGTTGAAAAAATGTATATATACGTTTGGACCATTTAAAGGTTAATGTGTGCCTGCACGCCAGCACAGTGTGTAAGTTTATTTAGGTACAGGTATACATAAGTATAATTATCAGAGTATATATAAAATATGAAATAACTTTTAAAAACACAAAATTTTGGAGTTTCCAGACACAATGGTGCTTACGGAGCTCATGGAGAATGTAAACAAACAGGGTGGGGTGCGGTGACCGTATTAGAAAGTCAGGTGGGGGAGCCGTATAGAGAGTTTAGGTCATAATTTGAAATGACCGTATTAGCGGAACGCCGTAAAGTGAAACGCCGTAAAGCGGGACCCTACTGTATTCACATAAAACACTACATACAGCCTCTCCTCACTTAGCGACGTACTCGTTTACCGACTACTCGGACTTACGGCCGTCTCTCACCAGTATCCAAACCTAAATAATGTATATTGGAGCTCATTTCCTCTATTTTGTTTATTACAGTATACTGCACACTACTGTATAAACATTTAAAAATATACCAAAAATGTTATAAATGGTGCAAAGGTGACATTAAAATGATATCTAAAGATGGTTGACACAAACCCCCCTACCAGTACAGTATGCGTCTCGCTTAACGACCAATTCGCTTATTGACCTACTCTTAGAAACAGAACCCCATTGTTTAGTGAGGAGAGGCTGTATAGCCATAATAAAAAAAAAAGTCCTAGGTAGTAAGTTGGTAGACAGCAACCTTCCAGGGAGGTACTACTGTCCTGCCAGGTGAGTGTGAAATGGAAACCTGTAATTGTTTTACAGGATGGTAGGATTGCTGGTGAATTTCCTCCCATCTCCATCGAGATGTGGAAAAGAATTCTTCCTCCATAAACCATATGTGTCATGAGAGACGACTATAATGCCGGAGCAGGGGACTAGTAACCCCTTCTCCTGTATGAATTACTAAATGTAAAAAGAAAGACCTTTGTTTTTCATTTTTTCATTTTTGGGTCACTCTGCTTTGGTGGGATACAGCCAGTTTGTTAAAAAAAAAAGAAAAGAAATAGAAAGAAAAATTGCATTACTAAAAACTAGTAGTGGAATGAATGTGGGGGTTATATTGTATTACCATAACATTAAACATATTTTAAGTAAAAGTAATTAATTGCAATGCAGTTATTGTTTTATTCACTATACTGTCTTAAGGAGACAGATAAAAAGTTGCATTTAATAATGAACATTTCCTCATCTAATATTGCTACAATTATTTCCAGGTTACTTGATATTCTACACAACAGATGCATCAGGTGATTGGGTAATGGAGGAGGTACTTGGTGATAGGATGACCTTCACAGTTCATGGATTGACTCCATCAACTCTCTACTACTACAAGATGCAGGCACGCAATGTTAAGGGCTTTGGTCCATTTTCTTCTGTAGGAAACTTCACCACATTACCTGGTAATGTCATTAGAATCTTAGTTGTTAATTTTAATATGAATAGAGTGTTTCAGACATAGATGATTTCTCATTTTTTTTGCATTTTTATGAAACCTTCCCAGAATATTGTTACCATCACAGAGAAGCTTTCAGGTTATCTTATCAAAACATTTTAACAGATTGTGCTCTTCTACAAACAGAGATTAGGCATAGGGATAGTGGATGCATCCATGCCAAGAAGACTATGCTTAATAAGATTACATATACATGTATTTTCTATCACATTTAAGTCAGGTGAGTTACTAGGTCACTCATTAAAGATCGAAATTTCACAATCATTTAGCTCTTCATTTTTGTGTTTGGCAGTATATTATGGGGAATTGTCTTGCATACAAAAGTTGCCCTGACACATTTCAAAATTGTCAGCAAATAGTCTACTTATTCACATGCATATTTATCACATCTGTTGTATCACTCACGTGTGTTTCAGGGAGTACAAATGAGGGATTTGAGGTGTTCCTAATTATTTATTGCAAATTTTTGACTGAAGTAATATAGGCAATCAAAGTTGTCTGTATACCTTCCTGACCTGCAGATTTACTTCCCTTAAATAGGACTTTTAGTATGTTACAGTATTCCAGTACAAAGAATACAATTGCCTTCAAGAGTTTATCATTGGCTTGATATCCCTTGTTGTCCAGCTTACCATTTTCCTTATAATTATAATAGTAATTTTATTGTGTTTCTTTATCATAGAATCCTTTTACGTGATTGTCCCCAAGTTCCTTACATTCTTCTTGTGCTCTGTCAAGTGATTTGAGTGCATTACCATATGAAAATAGGTAAATAAATAATCAAAGTAAGCCCAAAGAAGTTTCACATTTTTAAATCTTCTGTAATGTACAGGCTTTACACAGATAATTTTTTTATTAACACATTGGCCTTCTCCCACCAAGGCAGGGTGGCCTGAAAAAGAAAAACTTTCATCTTCATTCACTCCATCACTGTCTTGCCAGAGGCACGCTTACACTACGGTTATAAAACTGCAACATTAACACCCCTCCTTCAGAGTGCAGACACTGTACTCCCCATCTCCAGAACTCAAGTCTGGCCTGCCAATTTTCCTGAATCCCTTCATAAATGTTACCTTGCTCACACTCCAACAGCTCGTTAATTCCTAAAAACCATTTGTCTCCATTCGCTTCTATCTAACACGCTCACACATGCTTGCTGGAAGTCCAAACCCCTCGCACACAAAACCTCCTCTACCCTTCCCCTCCAACCTTTCCTAGGCCGACCTCTGCCCTGCCTTCCCTCCACTACAGATTTATACACTCCTGAAATCGATAAATTAGACATTGGAAACACTTGGGTATCTTTAATGAGGAAATATTTCGCCACACAGTGGCTTCATCAGTCCATACAAAGGAGAATGGTGAAGAACAGGAGGAGTTTGAGGTAATCAGTCCCACATATAATCAGTCCATCAATCTTGAAAAGAATACAGCATATGTGCAGAGAAGTGGCTTATATACTGTAGGCAGGTGAGGTGCAGCAGTTGTAGGTGGTATCACACTTGACAAAATCAAATGCGGAAGTAGGTCATGCTTAAAGGTTAGGCAAGTGAAGAATTCCCTGCATTAAGATCTTAAGATGTTGCTGTGTCTGACAGGAATGTAGATGAATGGTTCAGAGAACTGACAAGTTGATAAATTAGACACATGTGCAACACTTGGGTATCTCTAATGAGGAAACATTTCGCCACTGTTTGGTGAAACGTTTTTTCATTAAAGATACCCAAGTGTTGCAAACGTGTCTAATTTATCAACTTGTCGGTTCTCTGAACCATTCATCTACACTCTCGAAGTCATTCTATTTTGTTCCACCCTCTCTACATGTCTGAACCACCTCAACAACCCCTCTTCAGGCCTCTGGATAATAGTTTTGGTAATCCCGCACATCCTTTTAATTTCCAAACTATGAATTCTCTGCATTATATTCACACCACACATTGCCCTCAGACATGACGTCTCCACTGCCTCAGGCCTTTTCCTTGTTACAACATTCACCACCCATGTTTCATACCCATATAAGAGTGTTGGTATAACTATACTCTCATACATTCCCCTCTTTGCTTCCATGGACAAAGTTCTTTGTCTCCACAGTCTCCTAAGTGCACCAATCACTTTTTTTCCCTCATCAATTCTATGTTTCATTTCATCTTTCATAGATACATCTGCTGACACGTCCACCCCTAAATACAGGTTGGCCATCACTAATCTGGCATCAGTGGGACCTGTAGTGTGCCGGATTAGTGAGTTTGCCGGATTACAGAGTGGTTAGGTTAGAATAGACTTAATTAACCTATCAGTCGAAGCTCTTTCTGCTACATCTTCCTCATTTTCATCACTGCTTTCTCCTCCACTGGCTTGCTGCTGTGGATTTATAACTATCTACACAATTTCTGAGTTAGTATAATGATGAAATTTGAGTCAGTCTAATGATCTGAATCAGTATAACGATTTGAGACAGTATAATGATGAAATTTGAAATTATGCTAGCCAAAATTAGTGCCAGATTACTGATGGAACCAGATAACTGATTGCTGAATTGGTGATGGCCGACCTGTATCTAAATACATTCACCTCCTCCATACTCTTTCCCTCCAATCTTTCGTCACCTAATTTTTTTGTTATCCTCATCACCTTACCCTTTCCTGTATTCACTTTTAATTTTCTTTTTTTGCATACCCTACTAGACTCATCCACCAACCTCTGCAACTTTTCTTCAGAATCTCCCAAAAGCACAGTGTCATCACAAAGAGCAACTGTGACAACTCCCACTTTGTGTTAGATTCTTTATCTTTTAACCCCACACCTCTTGCCAACACTCGAGCATTCACCTCTCTTACAACTCTATCTATAAATATATTGAACAGCCTTAGTGACATCACACATTCTTGTCTAAGGCCTACTTTTACTGGGAAAAAGCCCCTCATGGAAGGTTCCTTGATGCTTATGAGGGGCTCTTGATCTAGGGAACTGGATATGTGCTCCAGTTCCCTGAATTAAGCCTGAATGCCTTCCATTTATCCCTTCCCCACAGGTGCTGTATAATCATATGGGTTTAGCGCTTCCCCCTTGATTATAATAATTTTTTTTTTTATTATCACACTGGCCGATTCCCACCAAGGCAGGGTGGCCCGAAAAAGAAAAACTTTCACCATCATTCACTCCATCACTGTCTTGCCAGAAGGGTGCTTTACACTTTAATAATAATACTGGGAAATAATCTCCCTCTCTCCTACATACTCTAACCTGAGCTTTACTATCCTCGTAAAAACTCTTTGCTGCTTTTGGTAATCTACCTCCTACCATTTGCAACATCTGCCACATTGCCCCCCTATCCACCCTGTCATACGCCTTTTCCAAGTCCATAAATGCCACAAAAACCTCTTTACCCTTACCTACATACTGTCCTGTTCACCTATATGTTTCATTGTAAACACTTGGTCTACACACCCTCTACCTTCCCTAAAGCCTCCTTGTTCATCTGCTATCCTTCTCTCTGTCTTACTCTTAATTCTTTCAATAATAACTCTACCATACACTTTACTAGGTATACTCAGCAGACTTATTCCCCTATAATTTTTGCACTCTCTTTTGTCCCCTTTGCCTTTATACAACGGAATTGTGCATGCTCTTTACCAATCCCTAGGTACCTTACCCTCTTCCATACACTATTAAATAAAAGCAACAACTACTCCAAAACTATATCCCCACCTGCTTTTAACATTTCTCTCTTTATCCCATCAATCCCAGCTGCCTTACCCCCTTTCATTCAACCCACTGCCTCATGAACTTCCCTGACACTCACAACTGGCTCTTCTTCACTCCTACAAGATGTTATTCTTCCTTGCCCTTTACACAAAATTACAGCTTCCTTATCTTCATCAACATTTAACAATTCCTCAAAATATTTCCTCCATCTTCCTGATACCTCTAATTCTCCATTTAATAACTCTCCTCTCCTATTTTTAACTATCAAATCCCCTTGTTCCCAAGGCTTCCTCAACTTATTAATCTTACTTCAAAACATTTTCTTATTTTCAAAAAAAATTGTTGATAACACCTCACCCACTCTCTCATTTGCATTCTTTTTACATTGCTTCACCACTCTCTTAACCACTTCTGCTTTGTAAAAACCTCTCGTATACTAACTTTTTCTCCCTTACTGCTCACTTTACATCATTCCACCAATCACTCTTCTTCTCTCCCTCACCCACTTTCCTGTAATCATAAACTTCTGCTTACCACTCTGACACTTCATTCTTAACCCTACCCCATACATCTTCGACCCTATTGCCTATACTCTCACTAGCTCATCTATCCTCCAATAGTTGTTTATATCTTACTCTAACTGTCTCCTTCGTTAGTTTATAAACCTTCACCTCTCTCTTACTTGCTGCTTCTATTTTCCTTGTATCCCATCTACCTTTTACTCTCACTGTAGGTACAACTAAAATGTGATTTGATATATCAGATAATTAGACTAATAAAATACTATATTGTTTTTTTATATATGTCTGCTGATAATTCATAAGGAATGAATGTAAAATCAGTGGCGTGATTGAATTTTAATTTGCAGTCTGGTGGTCCCAAAATTACCAGTAATTCTCACACTGAACTGGTAATTGTAAGACTAGACTACAATTGAATCCCAGTCACTCTAGTGAAGTACACATGTATATATTGTTACAGTATGATTAAGAAATTCTGTATTTTGTTTCAGCAGTGGGAAAAAGTGTTGGCAAACCATCAGGTTGGTTTGTGGATCGAGGGAGTCTGATTGTGTTAGTAATTGCAGGAGTAGCTGGAGCAATTATTCTTATAGGGGCTTTTGTGGGTGCAGCAATCTATTGTCGGAAAGTTAAGCCCCAGCCACGACCTAGCAATGTGTAAGTATATGCATGTTGATGTATCGTGATATCAAGTATACAAGAGTATAACACAGGGGGTTTAGGATTATTATATTCATGGGAAGCACAAAAACTGTAAGGGTTATACATGGGGGATGCTGTATAACCCCTGTGAGAGCTTTTACTATCTTAGGAAGGTAAGGTAATGTGAGAGACAATATATGTGATTAGAATGGATGGGGCTAGTAACCCCTTCTGTATACATTATTAAATTTACAAAGAAAAACTTTTGTTTTTCTTTTTGGGTCACCCTGCTTTGGTGGGATACAGCCTGTGCATTGAAAGAAAGAAGAATGGATTGTTTATTGATATGGAGGTGAAAGAGTATTCATAAATGCTTTCATTGTTTATGATTTTTTAATACATTCCATTGTAAAAGGTTTCTCTGTAATTTTCAGATGATTTTTCATATTATATTTTTATGCTTTTCCAATATGCATTCATCTGAATATCATTCATTCTTAAACTACTTCATTAATCACAATACCTGTCTTCATTCATTTTGTATTTTTTTACATCTCATTTAAAATAAATTTTAGTAAAAAAAGTTTTTTGTATAGAGTAGATGAAAAATGAAAGATTATAACTCTTACACATTTATGGAAATGTAGTAAATAAATGAACTCTAGTGTTTTGTTTGATTAGCCTATCAACATAAAATAGTTTAGTTGATTACAGGTCTGGGTAAATGGAAAGGATATCTTAACCCCTAAGGTGCCTATCATGTACCAGTATTTCATAACACTGAGTCCGTAATGTGCTAGTATGCATAATTCATAGAACCCTCAGGTTTGCTGTGAGTGGCAAGTTTTGGGCTAGATATGGAAGATTGGGTCTGTGCAGTGGATGTGTGCAGTATAAAAAAAACCTTCCCATTATAGAAACAGCTAACTTCTTTCCATACACTTGGGTTAAAATAGTGGCTTTGAGGCATTTCCTAGGGTGGTTTTCTTGATTTTATTAGGTGATTCTTGCTCCAGTAGAGAGACCAAAAGACATACTCATGAAATGGATGAGATTTGGGTTGATTTAAGACTGGAGGTGGCCTGAAATAGGCATCATATTGGCAAGAAATGGTCAGTTTTGGACAGTTTTTCCTGGGAATACTGTAGCTCCCTCCCTGATCTGCTTTAGGGATGTTTTACTAGGTTGGCTTCAATTATTGGGATGGCTTAAATCATGACCAAGCATTCTTGGTTTTGGTTTATTAGCCAAAAAAAAAAATATGGAGAAAAAAATTATGGTGTGTGATGATGGATTGAAAATAGAGAGCAAGCATTATATAGAAGAAGCCTGGAAATGTGATTAATGGACATATGGGAAGGTTGCTTTAGTAGCTCATGTGCCCATGTTTTTTATTCTGAACTCAGAAGGAGGGGTGGGGATGTTATAGTAGGAGAATAATCTGATTGTGATGTCAGCATCTTCTGGAAAGATGGCAGTTAAGTGAATAATGGTGAATGTGTTTTCCTCATTGGGTCACTCTGCTTTGGTGGGAGATGGCCTTTGAGTAAAAAACAAATTCTGTTGTTATATTAAGTTTGATATGCTCTGTAATCTTGAAAGAAAATAATCTGCTACAGCAAGGCTGTCAGTTTAAGAGTAAATAGTGCAAGAGCTTATATAAAAAATATCCAGAATATACACATTACAAGCACTATACTGTATTACAGCTTCTCCTCACTTAACGACAGAATTCCATTCCTGAGACAATGTCATTAAACGAATTCGTCGCTAAGTGAGGAGCATACTATAATGGTAGTGAGTTGGTGTCAACCATCTTTGATATTGTTTTAATGTCATCTTTGCCCCATTTATAACATTTCTGGTATATTTTTAAATGTTTATACAGTAGTGTACTGTTTATTGAAATAAACAGTATAGAGGAAATCAGCTCTAATACTGGTCAGAGAGCCTGTCGTAAGTCCAAGGCAGTGGTAAACGAGTACATTGCTAAGTGAGGAGAGGCTGTATTGTTATATTCATGGAAAGTGTATTCAAGGTAGCATGGTGAAAAGAGATGGTAGAGGGCAAAAGGTAGAGGTGTTGAGGGAAAGACATAGGCAGAAAGAATGTAAGTCACAGTACACATAGCAAATTTGTGTTTGCATCGGCAGCAAGGATGTGGGTCACATTACATGTAGCAAATTTGTGATAGTAATGAATTCATACAGTGCGCCTACAGTTAAGGTGGCACTGTCAGAAAGATGAACAGACAAGGTAAGCATATCATTGTGCTGAACAGAGTATCTGAAATAAATTTGTAGTGCTTTCTGATGAGCAGGATAATCAGTCAAGAGATGTTGGACTGTCAAGATGATCTAACAGTCCTGCAGGTGGGAACTGAGCACCAGAAATTTACATATTTTTTATGATAAAATCATATCTAGATAATAAATCTTATCAATGAGCTACAGTCACAATGGTTGATGAGTGTATTGTATAAAACACTTTCACACTGAATCATAATATTGAAGGTTTAATGGTTTGTTTAGGACAAAGACTGTGTGATGTGTCCCACTGACTGAACTATTCTCACTCTTCCTTACTATATCTTGATTTATAAATTGTTACTACGATGAGCACTCACACTGAATTTTTTTTGTAAATTCCATTGTACTTAATAAGCCTATTATGGTGATTGTAGTAAAGTATTTTAGTGAACTCATGCATGATTCTTTGATCGTTCTTTTTCCAGTGTTATTATCAACAAAATTTGTATTAATTTTGCCTCTGTATTATTACCTCAACCTTTAACCCTTAAACTGTCCAAATGTAGATCTACATTCACGTGCGTAGCTCTCCGAATGTAGATTTACAGTTTTTTTACATGCTTTCAAATGGAGAAAATAAAGGTTGGAGCGCTACTCACGTAAACGTAGATCTACGTTTGGACAGTTCAAGGGTTAAACAACACTTTTTACAAATGTAATGTTCTTCAAGATGTAGTGGAGGGGAGGAAGGGTAGGAGTTGTCCTAGGATAAGATGGAGGGGGGGGTAAAAGAGGTTTTGTGTGCAAGGGGCTTGGACATGCAGCAGGCATGTGTGAGTGTGTTAGATAGGAATGAATGAAGATGAATGGTTTTTGGAACCTGGCATGCTGTTCAAGTGTGAGCAGAGTAATATTTTTGAAGGGATTCAGGGAAACCGGTTAGCTGGACTTGAATTCTGGAGATAAGAAGTACAGTGCCTGCACTTTAAAGGAAGGTTTTGGGATATTGGCTGTTTGGAGTGACATCTGAACTCTCATATCTGTGCACCTCTGCAAAGACAGTGCTTATGTGTGAATGATGGTGAAAGTGTTTCATTATGGTGAAAGTGTTTCTTTCTCTTTTTGAGTCACTCTGCCTTGGTGGGAGATGGGTGATGCATTTGAAAAAATCTCATATTTTGAAAATAATAAATTGTGTGACGACGAATACCGGGGACTGAATCAGTGTGCATTTTTGTTTCTATTACAGATTAATTTATTTACAGAGTTGGCAGTTGTAGCAAAAGTAACAAACCAGAGGTGCAGCCTCCAGACCTATGGATCCATCATGATCACCTTGAGCTTAAGAACTTTGATAAGGGAGAACGCAGCAGCTCGCCGAATCATGCCGCCATTATTAATCACACAGGTCAGAATTTTTTTCTGAGGGTGTAGTAAATAATATAATCCAATTTAAAAAATGTCCAGTAGATGGGTCAGCACCAGGTGTAATACATCTGTGCTTTAGGATAGTCTTGTGTGATTTTTAGGCTTCCCAGCCTTGTGGCGTCAATTAGTTTTATTTACGTTTTTGGTTTTTCTTTTATTTTTACATGCTTCTGGTAGTTTTTTATTGGAGTATTATTGTTTGTGGACAATAAAACATGTCTTGTTGAGGTCTCTTCTGATCTGACAAAAGCTAAAATGTGTATGTTTGTAAATCATTCTTTGTGAATGCATTTTGTTAAGAAGACCATCATTTCAGGGGCAGTGCCTTAGCAATGCCTTGGCTATTTTGCCTCAGATTTTAAATACTTATGGAATGGATTCATGCAACAAGCATTTTTTAATATTTATCCTAGGTGGCAATTTTGAAAATTAGATAATGGGGACTGTATTGTTTTGAGGATATGACAGTGTTCTAACCAGATCACTTCAGACTGGGAATGTCTGACCTTGCCATTATTTCGTTGTACTGTTTGGTGTGTCATTGCCTATTAATGGCATTTTTATTGTTTTTTTAGTGTATATAACAGGAAACCATTGTTTCTGGATACCATCTTAACCATTTTGTTTTATTCAGACTAAGATACTGAAAAACGTGTGATAAGCATTGACTACCAGTAGGTGGTTCTGGGGGTCAGTGCTTCTACATCCAGGTCTCAAACCAGGCCTTTTGGCCTCTTAGTCACTCAAGCTGTTGGTGCTGGTTATCACTATTGTAGCATGTGCTCGTTGTCACCATACCAACATAGGCACCACATCCCAACTGATCAGACATTTTTAAAGAAATTTTCAATTTGCCTCTAGAATACAAATAGTGATCTCTTGATAATTTCTTACCATATATACTCTAAGTTTTAAGTCCAAATAAGTGGGCACAAAAAGTAGGTGGTTGACTCACTCAGGTAATATTTTGTAGGGGTTGAAATATATAAACTACTGTAATCCCTAAGAAAAGAGGAGCACTATAGTAGACATGTTGGCCTTACTAAGTAGGTCCTACTCTGATCTACACATTTCATTCATCTAGAACTCTAATACCATGCCAGTGTTTTAATTTATTAGAAGATAAAACAAGAATGGAGAAGAACTACATTCCCATTAATGTACCTGTCCAGCCCACAATTACCAAAGTACTGGGTGTCAACAGGGTCCTTCTTTTGTATTCCAAGCTTTTGTTTCAATGAAATGCTAACAGATATGAAAATGTGGTTATTTGCATATGATGGCTGAAATAATAGCATTTGTATAAAGCTTGATGATTGTCTAATCTATGCCACTTCAAACATACATATGCACTTCTAGTGGCTGGTAACAAATCCGATCGATACCTCAGTTCATTTCATGTTTAGACGCATGTCAGCTATTGGTATTTGGAAAACTTAACCCCTTACAAGCCTCCACAAAAAGTCTATAGGTGTAATATCAAGGAAGAGTGGAGACCATTTGATGGGGCTGTCCTGGCCAGTCCTTCTGCCAGGTAACTTAATATTATGATAATTATGCTGTCATGTGTAGAGGACTGCATTTTCATATCTTTTACCATATTTTAATAAATTTTTGATATCAGAAAAGGACTTTGTGGACCCTTTGTGTATGCTTCAAGGATCCTACCTGGCAGTTTATTCTGCTCACTCGTCTACAGTACTTTAATATAAACTTTCTAAATATGATTTTATCAAACTTCAGTCCATTTTTTAAAATTTTATTATGGTTAGATATATTCAGCAACTTAGTTTATTGACTTCTTGTGGGTCATTAAGGCTGCAGTTCACATACCTTCTATATAAAATTTGTAAATCTCTAGAGCAGGGATCAAATGAAACTCAATATATATATCCCCAGTTTATTCTTATATTCACTACACATTGTAAGCCTGAAGACATATACATGTATTGTATTTAATTTCTTACAGATATTTTCTATTTGAAATTAATGTCTAACATTTTTTATGATTTTGAGACACCTATATATAACATTTTACAGTAGGCATTGTACATGATCAAATCAGTACCAAAGAAGAGAAGCATATGAGGTAGGAATGTGACTTTTCTGCATTGCATGACTGACCCAACCCTAATTAAAGTAATTTAATTAATTAAATGAATGTCTTTCATCAAGCTAGGTGACATGTCTATGGATGGGGAGCAGTGTTGTACCCTTTTTGTCTATTTTTAACTATTTATAGTTATAAGGGCCAAACTTTGCTCCTAGTCTTCTGTTTTCAGTATTTAGTTCTTTATGTAATATTTTAAAGTTTCTAGTGTTTGTAGCATAGACTACATTCTTTTGGATCCTGTTGCAGTATTCAGCATTTTTGTTTTGGAATGGTAGGATTGATGACAAATGTGGTGAGAAGGCACTACTTACAGTGGAAACTTTTATTTAAAGACAACATTTTATTCACTGTTAAAGCTTTCCATAGAACGAAATATTGTCTTTAACTGAAGGTTTGCTCTGCATGTACAGCAGAACCTCGGTTTTCACTTGCCCCTGTTTTTGTCGATTTTGGTTATCGACAACTTTTTTCATCAACATATTGTCTCTGTGTTTGTTCTCACCTCATATTTCGTCCGCTGTACCAAACATGTCTGCCTGCCATGCGCACACAAAGCCTCCCACGCACGCATTCTGAATCAGTGTGGCGTTGTTTCTCGGCGAGTGAACATTACCCTGTGTGTTCAAATGAAACATTTCGTAATAATCCATTGTTTTTTGTGCTTAAGATAAGATAAGATTTCGTTCGGATTTTTAACCCCGGAGGGTTAGCCACCCAGGATAACCCAAGGAAGTCAGTGCGTCATCGAGGACTGTCTAACTTATTTCCATTGGGGTCCTTAATCTTGTCCCCCAGGATGCGACCCACACCAGTCGACTAACACCCAGGTACCTATTTGCTGCTAGGTGAACAGGACAACAGGTGTAAGGAAACGTGTCGAAATGTTTCCACCCGCCGGGAATCGAACCCGGGCCCTCCGTGTGTGAAGCGGGAGCTTTAGCCACCAGGCCACCAGGCCGCCTTTGCTTGTTTATTGTGTGGGGCCATGGGGCCAAAATAAGTTCTGAGTCTTTCAGTAAGTCCACCTTGTCTTTCAAAAATGTGAATGTCCATAATCTAGGGTATTTCCCTGACACACTAGGCTTTGTCACATCACAAACAGATGAACTTACTAAGGAAGGACGATGAGCAAGTATTTTTGTACTACAATTAAATACAGTGGAACCTCGGTTGTCGAATTGAATTCATTCCAGGTGTTGATTCGACAACCAAAATGGACAACAACCAAAGTAATTTTTCCCATAAAGAATAATGTAAATAAAATTAATCCGTTCCAGACACTAAATGACAATATAATAATTTATTAAAAATGTGTTAAATACTACATAAAACTAAAAATGAATACCAAAAGAAACTTTAATTGAAATACTGTACAGTAAATGAAAATTTAACTCTCTCTTACCTGTCATAAGATAGCTAATGTCATATCGGAAGCAGGAGGTGGACGAGAATAGGGGGTATGTTACTGCTTGGAAGGAGAGTCACCTTCTATTAATGTCAGGCAGTTATCCTTCTGGTATTGTTTCTCTTCATTGTCTCTTTTCACCACTAACATCTTTTTCTGACTCACTAGTTCTTTGTCTCACTAAAAACCTGTCCAGCGAGGTTTGTTTCTCGATCCATTTTAGCACTTGTCTAAATTGAGACATTACACTGTCATTGTCTAAATTGAGACATTACACTGTCATTGTACATGTTAGAGAGATGGATGGCCACTGCTTTGTCTGGATGGTATTTTTCAGCAAACTCCAGCACTTCATGCCATTTAGCACACATGTGCAGTGGGCACATCATCCCTTCCCTCCATTCCTCTGATGACAGCTCCTCTGCTACAGTCTGTTACTGCTCCTTCTGAAGGTCTACAAGTTCTTCTGTGGTGAGTTCAGTTCAATTCTGTGCTCCTCCACCAACTCCTGCACATCATCTTCAGTCACCTCTAGGCTCAAGGTCTTTCCCAGGGATGCAATATCCTCTACTGGCTCAGGCTCATCTTCAAAGCCTTCAAAACCTCTGGCTGCCACAAAGTCAGGTCACAGTTTCTACCATGCTGACTGCATGGTCCTGGAAGACACATTTCCCCAGGCTTTGTCTATAAGCCTCAGGTAGATGAGGATATTGAAATGGTCCTTCCAGAACTCCCTGAGGGTTAAATTTGTTTCTGAAGTGATTTCAAAGTGATTTTGACTCATTGTCCAGTGCGCATTCTGTAAGCACGCGACCTGACTCGTCCGCACTGTTGGTCGACAACAAAGAAAACGTACGAAAACCAGGACATTTTTTCCTCAAATTCCTTGTTCGAAAACCGATTTGTTCAACAAGTAATGCAGTTGACAACCGAGGTTCCACTGTACTATCCTCAAGGGAGTAGTAGTTTTAATCTTTTTAGTCTCCCTGGTGCGGTAAGTAACATTTTTGCCTGCTCATGAGGTACCTCTCCTACAAACTTATTCTTTATTTGTTCATTATTTTATTATATTTGGTCAATAAGTCTTCATGAAGTCTTACTTAATTCGTGGATCATATGGTTGTGTAGTGAGTAGTGTTGAGGTGAAGAGCAAATTTGATGGTACTCAAATTATGTAGATTCTCAGATATTATAAAATTTTTTGGCAAGAAGTTCATCTAAATTGTAAAAACTGTTCTAATAAAGTTGTTAGCAATATTATTGAGTGCAGATTCAATGACTATTCTTCTCTGGGTTTTGTCCTCCTCCTTAGCTATTAGTAGTGTGACTTTCCAATTTATTAAGTGATTACGAGAATTATGTTATGTTAAGCAGATGTTAAGATTATCACTTCTGGTGACATATCGGTGCTCTGAAATTTGTTTGTAGATATCTCACTTATATAGATTTTTGTCACAGTTGT